AAATATTTTCTTACAGAAAGAGTACAAATTAGTGACATTTAAGAACAAATAAGTAAGTTAAAATGTAAGGACAGAAACATGAGTTTGAAGTACTAAAGGATAAAAGTCATTAAATGTAAAAAACATAGCAAATGATAGAAAATAATGTCCGAAAATGTGTGAAAAATGTTAATAAAACATTGACCTGAAAGCGAAGAAGTTACAAAATGATTACAAAAAAACAGTAATAGCTAATTGATAAAAAAAGGTAGTAGATAAAGACATATAACCAAAATAATACGGCCAACATCAAGACTAGCCAAGCCTCTATTAACAATTACATGATATATGCTTACAGTAGAAGAAAAATACATCATCATCACCAAGAAAAAGTAAAAGTTTTAAAAAAGCTATGCTTTTAAGAAGTTAAAAACTATACATATACATACATATATAACACTGTACAGTGAACAGTAACACTTCAGACTCTCTTTTAGAATACGTGTAATATGATTTTGAATGTCTAGCCCCCAATGTGCCTCAAATAAGGAAAATAGAACAGGGGGCATTATAATATAATAAATATTTATCAAGATAAATATGCTATATAAAAATTAAATCAAAATAGTCTTTATAATATACTTAGGTTAATAAATGCTAATCTATTTATACTCACATATATATATATATATATATAACAAAAATATGGCTCAGCTATCAATTTTAGTATCAACAGAACACAAACAAAGAAAGTAAATATTCATTATTTAGTTGGTTCGGGTATTTATCTCCTAATCTTACCTATATATTATATATCGAATGTAACAAAAATAGAGCCTAGCAATATACTTGGCTACCATCTAAGTTATTACAGGATTTATGCTGAACATCAAAAGAGTAATATATTGTTTCTATTTTTCATTTACACATAAATTACAAAGAAGACACATATAAGAACAAATATATAAGTAAAAATGTTTTAACATATTCATGAATTTGAACTACTAAAGGATGGAGATCATTCAATATAAAACACAACACAAATTTTGGATAATGATACATGAAAATGAGTAAAAAGTGTTATGAAAACATTGATTGTAAGGCAACTAAAGTACAAATTCAATATAAAATACCACTAAAACTTAACAAATAAAAATAGTAATAGGTAAAGGCATAAAACCAATTTAACCCGGGCAGCATCAAGAAGAAGCAAGTATCTATTAACAGTCACACAATATATGCTCATAGTAGGAGATAACCAAATTATAGTAAAGGGTTTAAAAAAGGTAGACTGTTAACATAGTAAAAAGAAGGAAAAAGAATTACAAAATATATATAGACATAACATATAGCTAAATAACAATATTAAAAATAATATAAACAGTAAACGACTACAGAAAGAGAAAATTGACAAAGCATATAAATAAAAGACCATAAAAAAATTTAAACATAAGTATATAAACAAATAAGCAAATAAAATCATGTAACAAATGACCATAACATTATAAATCACTTACTTAAAACAACTAGGAAACACACATAAATAGTACAAATATATTACCTTTGTGAAAGAAGGATACTGAACAGAACAGATGAAACGGAAGACCAAGTATTGCAAATGAAAGAAAGGTAGACAAAACAACCTAACGTTAAAAACTCAGGAAGGGAAAGATAGTAAGAGAATATCCAAAATGCATTAGAAATAGTAAGGAAACTCTAACACCTCTAACTTTTTGAAACTGTAAAAAAACATATAATGGTAAGAAGGATAGAAAGTAATATATGAAAAACGGTTATAAAATGAAGACCAATATATATCGACAGAGTGACTAAAATCTGCATGAAAAACCGCCATAAAACCGTTCAAATAAATAGCAACAAAGGTGATGATTATAGCATGGCACGTGTCATGAAGCATGGAGGGCACCGCATAATAGAACCAATAAAGGACGAACAGTAAAAAATCAAATTTAAATTAAACATAACTAAATATAATGATATGTACAAGTGAAAATATAATACTAACAAATTACGTTCATTCTCCGATACAAATCGCTGCAAGACAAAATTAATTAGAATAATGAATATATTACGATAGATGTCATAAATCATAAATCTCACCGCAAAACAAAACAAATAAACTACGGACAGTAAGCTATTAGGTATCTATTATACAAAAAGGGAGGAAATAAAATATACCTATAAATTTATAAGTGTGATACAAATACTAAAACAGTATAAATCAAGGCTATTAATACATAAGAAAATTCAAAATAACATATTAAACAAAAAAAATTATAAATCCAAAAAAAATAATGAGGGAAAAATTTTACAGAAAGCAAAAAAAAAAAAAAAAAAAAAAAAATTGGGCCAAAAATTCTTTAAAAAAAAGATTAAAACAAAATCCCAAAGAAAAGAAAGCCTCTTAAAAAAATTCCATAAATAAGAAACCAAAAAAATATATGAACAAAAATTTTAAATAACAGATTTTAAAAAATACCCTAAAAAAAACCTCTTAAAATAAAATACTCAAAAGAAAAAAAAAATCAAAATCATAGAAACAAATTTTAAGAAATGCAAAAACAAATATTCTTAAAAAACATTAAAAGAAATTTTAAGAAATTTTAAAAACGTATTATTTTTGAAAAAACTAAGTCAAAAAAGGAAAAAACTAAAATATTATGAAAAATATATAAGAAAAAAAACCATATCATCATAGAAACAAAATAACTCATGAGCAAAAGAAAATGAAAGCAACAAAGCAAAAGATCTGTAGAGAGAGAAGAAGGAGAAAAAAGAAATGGACATAAAAAAGGAAACTCATAAGCCTCATGGAAAGGAAGAGAGAGAGAAGGAAAAAAATGCACAGAAATGATGAAATCCAGAAGCTTCACGGAAAGGAAGCTACAAATAGACAAAGCAAAAGATTTGCAGAGGGAGAAGAAGGAGAAAAAAGAAATGGACATAAAAAATGAAACCCATAAGCCTCACGGAAATCCAGAAGCTTCACGGAAAGGAAGCTACAAATAGACAAAGCAAAAGATTTGCAGAGGGAGAAGAAGGAGAAAAAAGAAATGGACATAAAAAATGAAACCCATAAGCCTCACGGAAATCCAGAAGCTTCACGGAAAGGAAGCTACAAATAGACAAAGCAAAAGATCTGCAGAGAGAGAAGAAGGAAAAAAAAGAAACGGACATAAAAACTGAAACCCATTAGCCTCACGGAAGGGAAGAGAGAGAGAAGGAAAAAAAAATGCACAGAAATGATGAAATCCAGAAGCTTCACGAAAAGGAAACTACAAATAGACGTAAATGGCAAGAAGTTCACTATTCATAACACTGTACAGTGAACAGTAACCCTCACGCTCTCCTTTAGAGTATTTAGAATATTTGGATGATTAAATGATAAGGCCTAATGTGAATGATTAGATGTTATTGGACATAAAAAATTTAACAGATAATTTAATCAGTTAGCAATATATATACACATTAGTTGAACTCTACATGTAAAACACATGGCGAGTAATCACGTGTTAAGTTTTAATTATATTGTAAAAAACATATAACATTTTTATATAAAATTTTAAAAAGGAACCAAAATGTAAAATATATATATATATATATATATATATGACAAGAAGTTTAAGAAAAAGGTCAACTAAAATAAAGAAATAAATAAATTTTAAAGTTAATAGATAATAAATAAAAAAATAAAAAGTTTTAGAAAAAATAAAAAGGTGTCATAAAAGGACCAAAAATAGAAATAAATAAGTTTTAGAGTAAAAGAAATCAAAATGAGAAAAAAATCAGGATTAAAAACCATAAAAAAGGACTAAAATGAAGAGATAGATAAGTTTTAGAGCAATAGGAACTAAGTGATAAAATAAAGTTTCAACGAAAAAAATTAAAAAAAATTAAAAAATGACCAAAATAAAGAAATAAATAAGAAGGTCTAGAGAAAAAGGTTGTACAGTGGTTGCCGGTGGATCTACGTTGTGTCGGAGTTCGTGTCGTCAGGGGAGTAGAGCCTGGCTCAGATCGGAGATCAGTCGCGGGAGAAGGCTGTTTGTTGCCGATCTAGTGCGATACCATTGATGGAGGAGGCGTTTGTCGTCCGAGGTGGTCGTGGGAGACTTGAATCTCCTCCGGGATAGGGTTGGGTCGGAAGGTGGGTGGAATGTTTTAGGCTGCTTGATCTGCTGCGGGTTGGGAGGACTTGATCATCGTCCGTTTGATGGCGGTGTTGAGGGACCCAATCGTGGTCGTGGTTGGGTTCGTGTAACCGAGTGAAGGTGGTCGGCGGTACTACTGGTCTCGCCATGGGGTTGGCCAAGTTGGGGCCGCTGATGCTCTCCAATGGGTAGGTGGATGGTTGAGGCTTCGCGATGGACGGCGTCAAGGGATCTCGGATATCTAGTTCGCGGTGGAGCCGCGCTCTGGACTTGTGTTTAGTCTTGTTTTTATATTATATATTTATTTTTGTTTATGGTGTATTAATAATAAAGGAGGAGGTGTTTTTCAACACCTCCCAGTGTTCGTGATGTCCCCCACCTGGTCGAGTCCATCACCGCCGGTGTTGGTTGTTTAGTCTGATTAGTTTTAGGCCACGTAAATGTCTCTTATACGAGGGGTTTAGTCTCGGTTGACTGCGTTAATCTATCGACTATTTGGTCTCTTTCAACGAGTTTCGATTATGCTCGATTTTTATGTATCGATCGGGTTTTTCTCCTTTAAGTATCAATATTAATATTCACCCTTATACTATTATTATTTTTATTGGTGAATTCAGTTATTTGGGTCGAATTCCATTGTCATTTGTGACTTTTTATTAAGTTATATAATTTCTATTAGTAATGAAATTTCGTTTTATCAACAAAAAAAGGGTATTATTCGTTTATTATTTTCATTTACTTAAAAAAAGAAAAGGGATTATTGAGCGTTTTCCACATAGCAGACATAGACACATATAAATACATGTAGAGAGAGGAAGAGAGAGAGAGAGAGAGAGAGAGAGAGGTGACACAGAGAGGGAAAGGGTTTTGTGGTGTTTGCTGATCGGGAAATTTGGAGCGAGAGCCGCAAAGAACTAGTTTTTCTTTTGAAAAAACTCTGTTTTTTCTTCTGTTTTGCCCCCGATTTGCGAAGAGGGAAAAAAAAGTAGTAGTAGACGAAGAAAGAGCTCGTAAATATGGGGAGTGAAAACAAGAATGGCGTGGGTTTATCGGCAGAGTCATCGCCGGAGACGAAGAAGATGATTCAGAATCTCAAAGAGATTGTCGACTGTCCCGAGTCTGAGATCTATGCCGTCCTCAAAGAATGCAATATGGACCCCGATGACGCCGTTCAGCGACTTCTCTCTCAAGGTTCTTCTTCTTCTGTTTTTTTTTTCTTCGAAGATGTTGTTCTTTTGTTTTTAATTGTTGAGGAATACTGGTTCTGGTTTTGGATTTTTTTTTCTCTTGATTTTTTTTTCCTGTTTGGCTGATGGAAAAACGTGGGAGGAGATAAGGAATCTTTTTTTTTTTTTTCACACTGATGAGTCAAAGAACCTTCTTTTTAGTTCTGAGGGAGTTTTTTTTTTCCTTTTTTTTTGGACCAATGGAATATCAATTTTGGGGTTTTCATTTTGTCTTACAAGATTGCTACTGGCAGATTCTTTCTTTGTTTTTGTTCTTGTTTTTGTTGTTTTTTTTTTTTTTTTTTAATTCGCAATAACAAATGGTTTTGGTGTCTCACTACAGAGTGTGTTTGGAATTGGTTCATTTTAATTTTCTTGGAACAATTTATAAAGGTTCTAGGTTTTCTTTCATTGCCCTTTTCTCTGCATCCAAAGTCCAAAGTCCAAACAATGCGTCAATAAGAGAAGTTTATAATTATTAGTTTTTACTTCGTTTAACTTTTGTTTGTTTTTTTTTTCCCCGGGTTTCTTGGTGATAAATTTCCTTGCTGAAAATTAGGCGGCTAATTTTGAAACCTTGGGGCCAATTGGAAATTCAGGGGATATAGAACTCGTGGAATGCATTATTATTTTTTTATCGTTTTTTTATATCTAAGTGATAAAAAAATTAAACAAGACACACAGACAAAACTCAGGACGGAAATCTATATTTGTTGCATTGATTTCTTTAGAAGTTTCAAAACAAGTACGGAGAAGAGGTTCTTTTGGGTTTCTCTGCAACATTATTGCTTCAACATTATGCAACATTTTCCCCCGCTTTATGGGGTTGTGCCAAGTTTATCAGTAGTACATGAAGTTCTTAATCTATATTCTTCAAAAGTCATGATTGAACTGGTAATTTTCAATTGTGTAGATACTTTTCACGAAGTGAAGAGCAAACGTGAAAGAAGAAAAGAGGTACATTGTGAAAATACGTTCCCTTCTACTTTCTTCCTGTATTGTCTACGCCTTCGGTTTTTCCCCCCTCTTGTGCTTATTTTATTCAAGGCACAAGGGTCTTCGTGTCTTGACCTGTATAACTGCTACTAAATTTTCCTGGGAAGTACTCTAAGTTATGACAGAATCAATATTATTCATTTTTTCCACTGAAGCATTATTGGTTTTTAAATCCGTTTTATGCTATATCCACATTTATTAACCTTCCAATGTGCAAGTCATGATTGACACGGTTAGCCTTTTTCACCTCGATTTTCTATTTTTGTAATATTTCTCTTTTCTTATCTTTAATCTGTATTAATCTTGTCATTTTTTATAAAACAATTTCAGATGAAGGAGACGCAGGAATTAAGACCCCGAGTTAATTATAATGGTCCAAGTCGTGGAAGTGGAAATAAAAGTGCCAGTGAACGTTATAGTGGATGGAGTGGATCATTTCAAACCAGTTATGAGGGTATGCTCGCGTATTGTGCCTTATCGCTGTCTTGCATATGGATGCTTCATGCTGACATTCTTTTTTTTTTTTTTTTTTTTTTTTTTAATACATAATTTTTAATCATCTTCCTGGTATTCTGTTTGTTAGAGACGGGCACTAATGCACACAAGGGCGAGAATGCATGGGCTGCTCCTTCACAGTCTTATTTGACTGCTGATGTAAAAGGAGAAACTATGAGCCCACAGCCTTCATTTAACAGGTTGGTTCTGTAATGGAATTTGAATCTATGCTTGTTTTTTTTTTTTTTTTTTGCCACTTCACCTGTACTGTCAGGTGGAATGGGATCTCAGTTCAAAAATATTTTTATGCTTCTTTTGCCATTTTAGTTGCCTAACATGCTGAAGTAACAACAACAGCACTCACCAATTTTGTCTTGGGTGATTTGGAGTTGTTTCCTTGTGGTTTAAGTGCAATCATTTTGCTAGTAGGGGCAAGTAGGGGTATTCTGCTGTGTTGTTTTCTTTAGTACTAGGGAGGAAAGGAAGCATGTAAATTCTACGTTCTTTCACAACAATATGCTTATCAGTTATTTAATGGTTCATTGGAGAATTAGATGCCATTATTACCTGTATGGGATGCGATCTATGTTATTTAAATTGGGAGTCTTAAGTTTTAGGAATTTTTGCTTCAATTTTTAGTTTCCTGGTCTGAATATTTAGGGAAAATTTCATTTAAGTACCCTGTGTTATATCGAAATATGAATTTGGTACCTTGTGTTTTTTAAAAATTTCATGCGGGTCCCTCGATGTTTTTGAAAATCTTTTTTTAGTACATTGAAGCTATTTTTGGGATGTGAAATGACATTTCTACCCTCCGCATTAATTAATAAAAAATGAATAAATTTTAAGGAAATTTTGAAAGTATTTTAAAAGATTAATATATTATAAATAAAAAGAGTAAACTAAAAAAAAGGCAAACCGTTCTTTTGCTTTCTATATTTTATCATGTTTTTAACATATTTTTAATATGTTTGAGAAAAAATTCTAGACAAATTAAGTACAAGGATAAAAATGCCATTTCACATCCCAAAATACAGCATCAGGGTACCAAAAAAAGATTTTTTAAAACGTCAAGGTACCTGCATAAAATTTTAAAAAACACAAGGTACCAAACTCAAATTTCGATATAACACGAGGCACTAAAATGAAATTTTCCCGAATATTTATGTTGTTGTCAGACTTGTAATTTATATTATTGGGTGATATGAACCAAAACCTTGTACATATTCTGTAATTTGGTTGCTTTACCAAATAGCTTATTTTATATTTAAAGTGATTGTTCAATATTTGTTGCAGTGATTCTTTAAGTACTGATTGTGGAGGACAGTCAATAAGAACAGGTGGTGCCATCTCTAATACTGTGCAACCTTCTCCGGGATGTCAGTCTGCTTGGTTGGGCACAAGCGCTGGACAGCTTTCAATGGCTGATGTCGTCAGGCAGGGAAGACATTCATCTAAGGGCTCACATATTTCGTCTAATGCACATCAAAATGCTGTTACGGCAAACTCCAATCAATACTACCAGAAACCCTCCCAAGCATCTGCACCTATCCAGACAGAATCGCACCACAATGTGCATCCTCTTCAAAATGATTCCAACGTATCAAGAACGATTGATAAGTCAGACATTTCTGTTGGACAGCATGCTTTTCTTGACGAGTGGCCTGTGGTTGAGCATCCCACAGCTGCTAGTGGGTCATCCGTTGCACCAGATGCCAACATTTACTCTAATCAACCCAACCACTATGGTAACGGATCTCAATTGCCTAGGAACCGCCACTCATGCAGTGTCCAAGCTTCAGATGGGAATGTTGATGAATATATTACTCCAGACCACACTGTTTCTGCTTCTGCCTCTAGTGGACAGAAGAGTGTAACTAATGATTCAGAAGCATCTCATTGTGACGATATAGAACCAGGCAGTGCTTCGAATTTGTCCAATCCTAGTTATTCTATACCATTGACAGATGATGTTACAGCTGTATCATCTGCTGCTGCAAATTTGCATCACTTAAGTGTAGAGGAGGCATCACTGGAAACTAACTCTGCGGTTGTTCTCCCAAGTCATCTACAAGCTTTGGCAGCTAATTGCTCACATTTGAGTTTTGGTACATATAAATCGGGACATAATTCTGCATCAGCTGCACTGTTTTCATCTAATCAGTTAAAAGATGATTCCCAGGAAGCCTCCAGGTGGTTGGATGGTTTATCCGATGAGCCCTTGGAAAGAAGGCATGATGGCTTTCACTTAGTTTTAATGTATCGTATTCGTACTTCATCTGTGATGTCTTCTGATGTTTTTCTCGCTTCTATGATCCAATTCACAGGAATATGGAACATGATGCTGATGAGTCCATTGGATCCTTGTATAACACTCATAACACAACGGCAGATGGTATAAGTTATGACTTAAATGCGGAATTTCTCTCAGAGCTGACAAAGCAGGATGTCTCTGAAGCAACCCTTGGAAGTGAATTTATCAAACCTTCTCTGCTTGGTTCTAATGTTGAGAACATTGAACAATCAATTCCCGAGTTGTCTTTCTCAAGGACGGATCCAAATTTTAGAAATATTTCTGTTCAAAGTGAAACGGTAGGTTTCTTATCATGGTTCTTTCCTTTTGCCTATGTTGACCGTGCACTGTTGATATGTGGTTGCTCTTATTTGTTTGTCTTCTTTTAGTTGATATCTATTTATCTTTCCTTAAACTATACTAAATCTGCAGTGAAAAAAAAAAAAATGTGAACACGTAAAGCTTTAAGATTGGGTTCATTAATTGCACAATTAAAGATAGGGGTCGTCGTTTGTTGACTGGATCTGATCAGATTGCCGACTGATATAAAAAGTTATGTCTGCTTTTTAATGAGTTCCTTTTTTTTTTTTGCCTATGATATAATCTATTAGCAACTGAAAATTAATCATATTCTGTAGGCTATTTTGTAGATTTGAATTTGATAGCTTATCTCTTTTATATGCATTACCAAATTAACTTGTTATGGCGTCAACTTTTTAAGAGGTTTTATTTACCGTATTTATGCACATCTACTTGTGCGACATAACTTTGATAATCTGTACGGTTGACAGTATTCTGAACTATTTGTGGATTTCTTGTCACTTCAGGCATATTTAGATTCTAAACAAAGTGATTTGTTATTGTCAAACATTCAATCATTAAGAGATCCTGATGGTTTCCACGCACAGCTCCTTATGAAACAATCAATTCCTTCAAGGCACATCAATGCAGTGCCATCTATAAGCAGTTCATCCATCTCCTTTCCTGAGGTGAGCAGCGAAATGTTGACGTAAATATTAGTTCCTGTTGAACAACTTCAATAATAAATTAGGTGTAGATGGTAAATAAAAGTCATCTATTGCTTGATTTAAATGTGCTGGAAAATTTTATATGGGAGATCCAGTAGATCTTTTTCCTGTGAGAGATTTGATGCAAGTTGTATTCAGTTGGTCAATTTCATAAAATCAATTTATGTTGATATCATCAGCATTCATACCGTGCAGGATAGGAGACCACCATCGGGAGTCTTTTCTCTATCTGCAGCGTCTTCTGTACTACCTCAGCACCGCATAGCAAATTCTCAACCTACCGTTCCCTTGGAAAAACCATCCAACAACATGATTGGCTACTCTGGCTTACCTCAGAGCTATTCGCATTTGCCCTCAAACTTTCAGCAAGGATATCCAGGCAGTGATAAAGTCTCTCTGGCTGATCTGAACTACAACCTTCCACAGCATGGAGCATCAATGAGTAGATTTCCTGGGGCTTCGGCTACTGCTGGTTATGGGAATTATGGGATGCCTAGCAATGTTCCCGGAAGCTATCTTCAGATTTCACCTTCTCCACCAATGATCCCTAATAGTGGCTATGATGATCTTTTCCACCGTCAGTACAAGGATAGAGACCATTTTACTCCTCTTCAACAGGTACGTTTTTCTGTGCAGAAATTGGTTAGTTTGCCATTAAGTATCATGCGTGCTTCTGCATTGTAGTTAAATGTAGAAAATGTAATGTTGATCATTTTGCTGCACTGCTACCGGTTTGACCTTCTGGTTCTTCTCTTTCCTTAAAGAGATATTGGATGTTTGATATTGCAAGTTCTGAAAGTTTTTTTCGTTGTGCTATGCTTTCCTGTGATTACAGAATAGTAGCTCATGGAACCAAGGGCCCGGTTCAAGAAAGCTGCCTTCTGCTGAAGAAATTGCATATTACAATTTACACGGACAGAATCAGCAATATTCTGGATATCGACAGGACCATCAGCCTTCACAGTACTATGGAGGATTAGAATATTCCAACCCTTACAGATCGCAAACGGGAATGGCACGAGAACATCAGCAGCACAACTTTGGCAGTTCGAGCTCTAGTGGTTCTCGAGACATTTTTCCTCAGCAATTGGACCAGTTTTGGCGGCAACATTAACAGTTTGATATTTTTGTTTCAATATTTTGCCTTTTGTCCATGGATTTCCAGTGAGTTTGGGGGATCCGGGTGTTATTAGAGTTCTCATCTTATGATTATTTTTGAGTGTCTGGCTCTGTCCAATTGTACATACTCGGAATAGTTATTGTGTTCATGCCGGCTGCCCAACTGTTGTATCCTACGTAACTTCATATTTGGGGCGTGATTTTTGAAGTTAGAGCTAGCTTTCTAATTCAAATTTTCCCAATGAAGAAAAGCGTTGTGATGGAACAGTTTCTAACTTTAGTGAGCTCTTCTATATAGTTATTTTGAAGGCTTTTATGCCCTTTTTTCAGTACTGATCCAGTATGTTTCTAAATCCCTTTGCATTCAGTTTTAATAGCCTGTTTGGAAACATGGTTTTCCTCAGATGAAACAAACGGATGGTTGATTTAGGTAGCTTTTAACTACTTAAAATAACTTAGAATGTGTAATTTGTGTATGATTATCTCTTGTAGAATATATTGTGGATTTTGTGTATCTGTTGAGAAAGACAATTAACATGGGTAAGTCGGTTGGGAATTAGGCGATGAGAATAATACAAAAAATCTTATTAAACAATTGGATTTGGTAGCACTTAACTATCTCCTAATTCTGAATCATTCGTTCAGGTTCTCATGATAAAATTATTGGCTCAAATTCTAGTATTTATACTCTTGTTCTGAATATAGTTTTCATTGAATTTCCGAACATTTCTGTAAGAAAAAGAAAAAAAAAAAAAAAAGAAGAAAGTGTACTTCTTTCGAGTGTATTAATGGCAGGAGGTGTTGATCAAGCGGTCCCTTCTGTTATCTCCAAAACAGCAATCGACAGAAACCAAGAACTAGATAAAGGAAATCTTCACCACAAGCCTGGCATGGAGAGCTTGCTAATGTCCCCCAAAATACCAAAAGCAGTGCCACCAGTTTCTTCGGCCCCTGATGGGGAGTCCATTAGGCGACCTCGAGGCAGGCCTGCAGGCTCCAAAAACAAGCCGAAACCACCCATAATTGTCACCCGTGACAGTGCCAACGCCCTCCGTGCGCATGCCATGGAAGTGAGTTCAGGCTGTGACGTAAGCGAGAGCTTAGCCAACTTTGCCAGGAGGAAGCAAAGGGGCATTTGCATACTGAGCGGAAGTGGATGTGTAACCAACGTCACACTCCGGCAGCCGACCTCTTCCGGTGCCATCGTGACCCTCCATGGCCGGTTCGAGATTCTGTCATTGCTCGGGTCAGTTTTGCCCCCTCCAGCCCCACCAGGGATCACAGGCCTGACCATCTACTTGGCTGGGGCTCAGGGGCAGGTTGTTGGTGGGAGTGTAGTTGGCACACTGGTTGCCTCGGGCCCCGTAGTGATCATGGCTGCTTCATTCATGAATGCAACTTTTGATCGTTTACCGTTGGATGAGGATGAAGTTACTGCTGCTCTGCAGAATCAGCATTACCAAAATGCTCGTCACCATCCCCTGGATGTTTCGGATTTGTATGGAATGCCACACAACTTGCTCACAAATGGCAACATGCCTCCTGAGATGTACTCCTGGGCCTCATGCCGACCCACGTCAAAGACTGTCTGATTTGGAGAACTTCCCATGTCTCATTATCCGTGTTATTTTATTCTTAAAATGCTGTGTTATCTTTCCTCGACTATGTAGCTTTTAATTATTATACCTATTAGACAATTACTTGTGTTTCTTATTAATGTATTGCTTTTAGGGCTATGCTATAGATGTATCTGTTTATTAATCAAGTCATGTAATGAGTGTAAAAGTAGATATTACATATCTCCTTTTGGGACTTTGGATGCTTAAGTGTACTGACTAGTGCATAATATACAATGATTTAGAAGCAAATAGAGATGAAAACTACTTTGCTTGCCCGCTGGAGAGAGATTTTTATGCATGCTCGGACTTGTCCAAACGTAGTTCTGGGTCTCTAAGTTGAGTTCCTGCAATCAATACTCCAACAAGCTATATCCAAGTATTTTCATGAATAATGAACTGATGAACCCCAGAAGGTGAAACTTTGATTTTATATGTTAAGAAATATTCACGCCAAAGTTTTGGCCAACCCCAAACCAAAGTTTTAGTAAAGAGGGGGTTAAAACAGACGATACCCAACACGGTTACGGGCTCCGGTCTCTTCAAAGACGGATAGTTGGCCAACCATAGGTCTCTTTGAGACATCTAGCAGGTTCTCTACAACACTACGGAAAGAGTATTTTTCCCAATAAGGCTCATTTCTGTTTGTCACAACCAGGCTCGTTTGTCTCTCGGAATTGTATTTTTTACTCACTCAATAGTGAGTATATCTCTTTGGCCCTAGGATGTGTCCTTCCAAAAGCTACAAACTCATGAACTTCTCCATCTACTTCAATAAGACTACATCCTGGTTCCTTTTCTATCCTCTTCTCTTTCATGTTGATTCTTTGCTTAACAGCTTCATCGTAGTGACTGGAGCTCCCGTAAACATTTGACATAAGCACGTAAGCACTGCTCTCACTTGGGTCCAATTCAATTACACGTTCCAATGCACGTTGAGCCATCTCAATGTTTCCATGCTTCCTACAAGCTGAGAGCAGTGATCCCCAAATAATGGCATCCGGATTTATTGGCATACTCAAAATTAGTTTTTCTGCTTCTTCAAGATGTCCAGCTTTCCCTAAAACATCCACCATGCAACTATAGTGCCTTGTTGACGGTTCAATGTTATATTTCCCTCTCATTAAAGAGAAATAGTCTCTGGCTTTATCTACCATGCCAGAATGATTACAAGCCGTGAGGACAGCAAGAAAACTGACACCATCCGGTCGAAGATCAATCGAGGACTCGAGTCTTGAGAACAGTTCAAGTGCTTCTTCCTCACAACCGTTCATTGCCAGACCCATGACCATGGAGTTCCAACAAGAAAGCCCCAATTTCGGAGCTGTCTTGAACACACTAAGAGCTTTATTAACACTTCCACATTTGCAGTACATATCTATAATTGCTGTAACAACTATGACATTCAATTCAATACCATTTTTTGTTATGTACTCATGAATCCACTCTCCTTGCCGAATCGCTCCTAACCGCCCTGAAGCGTTCAACAAGCTTACCATCGTAAATTCGCTAGCCTTGATCCCCTCCCCTTGCATTTTTCCGAAAAGCTCCAACGCCTCCACACACTTACCATTCCTAACATACCCACTAATCATAGAATTCCAAGAAACAGAATTCCTCAATGGCATCCTATCAAACAACCTCCTAGACTCACCAACTTCACCACATTTCGAAAGCCCCATTATCATCGAATTCCACGCGACCAAATCCAATTCAGAACTTTCATCAAACAGTTGGCGTGCTTCACTCAAAAACCCGCAATTTATATACATATGTATAATGGTATTTCTCACAAAGCGATCACAATCAAGTCCCAACTTTATAACCCTCCCATGAAGCTGAGCTCCAAAACAGGCCAACCCAAGTTGAGCATAAGCCTTAAAAACAGAAGGGTAAGTCAATCTTTGAGGCTCAAGTGGTGAACCAACCAACATGTCAATGAAGAGAAAAATGGCAGTTTGAGGGGTCGAGCTTCGAGAGAAGCCTCTAATGATGGTGTTCCAAATGAAGAGATTTGGGTTTTGGATTTGAGAGAAAACCATGAGAGCGTAGTTGATGTTCCCGGCTGGGGAGGCACAGAAGGCGAGAAGACGGCTAGAGGCAATGGTGTGACTGATTAGGCCGGTTTTGATGAGATGGGCGTGGATCTTTCGGAGGTCTGACATGGTGGCGCATCGCTTTTCTAGCATTGAGAGGTGGGGTTGGTCCGAGATGAATTTGGCTATGGAGGTTGGTGAAGGTGAGGGAGTGAATGTTTGTGAGCAACAAAATGGTGTCATTTTTCCTCGTCCTTCTTTCTTTCTGTGTTTTCTATTTTTTTTCCCCTCAATCCTCTATTAGTCTATTTGAGAGCGAGAGAGAGAGAGAGAGCATCTAGCCAGGTGAGTCGTGAGAAACACTACAGGGATTAAGCAAAAGAGAATTTACTTTTTTAATTTACTTTTTTAACTATTACTTTTTTAACGATTAAATTTGCAGAGAAAGCAGTTTTATGTAACGTATTCAAAATTTTTAATACAGACTTATATAAATTTGACCGTTAAAAATTTAATCTAATAGTTAAAATAATATATTCTGCCAATGAGTTTTTTTTATGAAACCTCATAGTAGAAACTCCCTTGTTTTAAACCATTACATTTTAAAAACTATTGTTTTACATATTTTTTCATTTTGATATAATTTTAATCAGATGCAACGATAAAAAAACAGCCACTACGAGTAGGAGGTCCTACTTAGAAGTAGTGACGGAGGCAGGATTTATTGGTACGGGGGACCAAAATTTTTTTATCAAGTTATACTAATGTTTATAGACTTACTTAAATTGAATATTTTATTTTTTAAAATCTAAATAGTTGGCTCAATAAAATGTAAAGAACTATTAATTTAATGAGGACCAAGTCTAATTTATACACATACTAACTATATTAAAATTTAAACCGGTATATTAAAAAAAAATGCCATAGTCCCTCCCTGCTCCAGTCTCTCTCATTGCATAGAGGGAGAAAAAAAAGGTATTAGCAAGGAGCCTCTACGGTGAGACTCTTTAAAAAAAACTACCGGTGGAACACCCTATTTTGACCGTTGGATTAAGTTTTTAATGATAAGATCTGCACAGGTCCGAATTAAAAATTTACAACGCGCCGCACAGATCTGACTGTCGAAAAAATAATCTAACAGTGGTGTTCTACTGGTGGGTTTTTTTTAGGATGTCTCATTATAGAGAAAGCCTTATTAGCACCGTTAATTTTAAATCATGAGCATTGCGACACTTTAATCATATAATTTTTAATTTAGGCAAATTATTTCTTGAAGATGTTTTTTTGACAATTTTTGTTCCCGATATTAAAATTGATGAAGGATTTCTAAAATTTAATAGAGATAATTTTGAATTTCAAAAATCTTTCATTAATTTTCATGTCAGGAACCAAAACGACACAAAATAAATTAAGAAAATTTGTCAAAATTAAAAGTTTAGAAACCAAAATGTCATAATACTCATAATGGCCTAACAACCTAACAATGCTAACAAAAAAAAAAAAAAGATTATCACTAATGTTCTAATGTTGTTAGTAACCTGGCCAAGTAAGGAGACATGAGCATGCTTGATCGTTAGTGTATCTTGTTGAGTGTCCATTTTCGAAACTCAAAAAAATTTTAGCGTTTCATTCAATTTATTGGTGGAAGTAGTTGTTTATCCAGTTTGTGATTTTCTTTAATATTTAGTTGTCTTAGTCGGAATAGATATTTGTATTTCCTTAATTTTGAAATATTATTATCCATCTTTTTCTTAAAAAAGGACTTTTTCTAGTTGAGCCTCTTTATAATTGTGTTAATTTTTTAATTGTTGTATCTGGTTAAAATCATATCAAATTGAAAATGTATGCAGAGCAGAAAATTTCTAATATTAATTTGATGACTGAAAATAAAAAATTACCAACAATTTATTTTTCTGGTCCTACTGAAAAAACTCCAAAAAGAAATAACCCAATATTTATCTGTCATGTATCAAGTATCATAAATATCTAACACATCTCAAATATTTTTTCTTAATAGACTGAGGATATGTTAAGGTGTTAGTGATAAATCTTTATTATTTCACGTTTACACTTTGCCCAAAGTGGGAAATTCTCCCTTGAGAATATTTTCGAGTCATACTACTAGGAATGATATCCTAAAAGCGTGAGATGTAATAAGATATTTATTATTTATTTAATAAAAGAGTTTATTCATTATTTTATGTGCATGTATTATTGAATATTTTATGAATATCATTGAAAATTCTATGATTATTTATGTGACATTAAATATTGTATATAAGTGTTATATGCGAGAGGATAATATTTAAGGATAATAATCAAAATGATGCTAGTAATGAATTTAAGTAAAGTTTAAAATCTTTAATTAAAACATTACTAATAAATGTCATTCTCATTTAGAATGAAATTGTGTTATCCGCACTGTTAATATGATGAGATATTGAATGTGTGTATTACGCATAATGATATTGTGTGGAACAAGGACACAAATATAATATGAATTTCTGATAATTTTTGTTAAGCATAGAAATTATAATTGAGTCTATCGATGGTCATATATAGAATGATCTTAATCCTGAGTTATTAGCAGACTCCTATTTATGGATTTATGTCTTTTGATTTACTTAGTACGGATTCTGAGATGTTGAATCTTATTCCTTATATTTTGGAGACATAATGAAGTGAGTAACCGAGAATGTTAATAAATGAGATGGAATCCATTCCTTCTTGAGAAAGAAGCAGATAAATAATTCTCTTGAGGATTGATTCAGTACTTGTACTAGTAGGAGCTCTGATTCATGAATTTGTTTTATGAATCAATGTCCATTGGAGAATTAATGGTACTCAAAGATAAAGACGTAATTAGAAAGGTAAACGGATTTCACTTAGCTCTAATTATGAATTATTTATGGAGGATTGATCTATATATAATGATTATATCAAATGGACACTTTACAGTTTAGAAATAAATTATATTTATAATTGCGAGAGTGCAATTCTAAGTTTATAGTGGAGTAACTTTTAGAATTAATTAATTAATTAAAGAGTTTTAATTAATTATTAATTTTATTAGAGCTCAGAATTATAGGTCTATGAATTCTCGTGTCATTCTTGTAATCCTAAAAGACACTAAGGGTAAAATGAGAATTTTACTCAAGAATAATTAATTGAGAATTAGTTATAAATTAAATAATGTGATTATTTAAATTTGAATTTTGAAACACACATGTGGAGGAGTCCACATTGTGTACACACCCAGCACAGTGGGAATCCCTTTGGGATTTAGCTGCTTGCTCTCTAAGTTATCTAATTGACTTATTTGATAAGTTGTCCAATTAAAATTTAAATTAAATTAAGTCTAACTTAAAATGGAATTTGAATTTGAGTTAAAATGTGACTGCAAGATGAAGGATATTTTTTTCTCCTTTCCTATCTCCTATTTGCGCCAACCACAGGAGGGACTATCCTTGTGGTGGCCGGCCCCTGTGGATAAAAAAGAGAGGGAATTTTATTTTCAAAATCAATGAGAAGTGGGAGATAATTATTAAGCTTTATCTTAGAGATAAATTTTAGACTTCCTCTGAGAGTCTAACTACCACTTTATGAATAGGAGATTGCAGAAAATTGGAGAACACAATTTTTACTCTCCCTAACCTAGTGTGGCCGAATTTTATAGAGTGAGAAAATGATAAATTTGCTCTTAAATTCCACGTCGTGTATGTGTTGGTGTTCGTGAAATACTTGAGTGTTTATTTGTTAATCTCATTTTGTTTTAGCTTCGTAGATTCAAGGAATTGACGATGATGATTCATGTATTCTAAACAAGCTTGGAGCGAGGAACGTTCATGGTCAAAGAACTCAAGTTATCGACCTAATCGTTCTCTAGGTAAATTTATTCATAAATTAATTTGATTAATTTATTCGTGTATTAATTAATGTAATCTATAGAGTATCTCAAAGGTTTGTAGAATTTTTTTATTATACGCGATCCGCTAGATACACGCTTCTGCATAGAAAACTATTTTTAAAACCAACACATAAAACATTAAGTGAAAACTTCTCTTAATTTCTATATAATATAGAGTTGTAAGATTAGGTAGAGCTAAACGGACCGGCTCAAGACTTGGCACAAACTTATCTAGGCCAGGTCGGCTTAAACACTCTTTGTTTTAAAAGAAAAAATTATGAAAATATCTCATAAAATTTCAGACCGGCTTTAGACCTGTCGGGCTTTAAAGTCGAGTTGGGTTGACTCTCTCTCTTTTAATACGGGCAATTTTTAAAAATACCCATTGAAATAGAAACTCTTTTTATTTCTACCCGTTAATATTAGCCTCATATATTTCTACATTTTAGACTAGAATTAGTTAAGGGGTAGAGTATTTTAAAAGGAGTACTTTTAGTAAGTCAGGTATTTAAGAATGTAGAATATGTAATTTTTTCATTTAAGACCGAGCCGACTTGACCTGAAATTTCTATTTGAGCCTTCGAATCTGAGCCGGACGGCCCGAACTTATACCTCTAATGTAATAAAGCACTAACTCAAACAAACAAACATGTGGGGGATTAAAACTGAATTCTTTTTCTTTCACATGGCAATGGGTACTCACTCTACTTAAAGCTACAAGTGCATGAATTCAGCGCCAAAAAAAAAAAAAAAAAGTAAGTGCATCTGGTTTTAAAGACAGGTCTAGAGCGTTTGTTTAGAAAAGTATGTTACTTTCAAAGATATAGTTGCATAAAAGCAAGATTTGTCACATGAAAAAGATTTTTTTGATAGGATGATAGCCATTAAGAGATAAACATCCTAGATGAAGCTAAGCACAAAAGAATTACGTGCTCCAAATAGTCTTAATCAAAATATTCCCACTAAATGTTAATGGAAGCAACAATCAAGAACAACCTTTATTTCAAGCCGAAAGAATCAACGAAGTCTAGTAATATAAAACTGACATAGGGATATTTGGAATCCAATTGGTCAAAAGTGCAGGCCTAGGAGATAGTCTTGGAAGATCCACTTTGAGCCAACTTCACCAATTATACTTTTATTTTTTCGAATCATCTATGGCTCTCTCCGGCATTAAAATATTTCCAATTATTGTACTTGATTTAAAACGGCAGTTTAAGCTTCAAATTATACATAGTCCAAACTCTCGACAATAAAAAATTGAAAAAAAAGAATTAAACCTAAATTTCCCAATTTTGTTGTTTAAAGGGAGTTTCTAACAAAGAATGGCTTCAACTTAAAAAAAGAAAAAAAGAAGAAGAAGAAGAAGAAGAAGAAGAAGAAGAAGAAGATTGGCTAGAAACACAATATTGGGTGGGGGGGATTCCTTCATTATGTTGTCACTGATAGTGGTTGCCAAAAATGGTTGTAAAGGAGTGTAGAGAATTGATTCAGGACAAGTTGTCAGAAGCATATACCTAAGTTGGTCTCGAACTCCTATAATCACCACTCGTTTTAGACCAAGTCATGATACCCACAATGTATGTCAAAGTCAAGACCTATTTGCTTCACCAAATAGAACACCAATACATGGAGAAATAATGCTCATGCAGTTTGGTTGTGACACTAATGAGAGAGAGAGAGCTTTATCAATCAAAGGAAGAAAAGAAGGAAAAAGGAGTCAGAGAACTGACACTAATAGATTCTCAACTTTTAGTAAGCTGGGCATGAGTTGTGGGGGTCCAATTCTTAGAATTCTTTGTCCCTGTTCCCCCTATTGCAGTAAGTCGGTTCACTCGATAACTTATTTTATTAAACCCGTTTTACATAATATTCTAACTGTATAATTAAATTAATTTCAAATGGATTAACATCAAGGGAATCCCATGTTTCTTAACAGGAATGATTGGCAACACATCCAACACCCAAAAAGAAATCTTTAGTAAAACAAGTAAAAAAATTAATAAAAAAATAAAATAAAATCTTACTAATGAGTATATTTTTGAATAGTCAAATTTGCATTAAATTATGCTAAAATTACTACATATTTTGAAGTATTATGATTTGATGGTTTAAAATTGTATTTTTTTTTTTTTAAATAAGATACGAAACAGCAATGAAAAACCTAACTACAAACAGTATATAGGTGGTTACTAGAATGAGTCGTCTCAAAACAGCAATGAAAGAAAAGAAAAGGGAAGAGAGAGAAGCACAAAAAAGAGAAAGGCAAAATGCACACATCATCACCATCATTACAATCATCACTTACCAGCCCACATACCAAACCTAAATTCCAAACAATTCTCTCTCTCTCTCTCGCTTTTATTTCAACCTTCTTCCCCACCTTTTCCCTCCTTTTTTGCACCCTCTCTTGCTTGCACCTTCCTACACCCCATGTCTCCTTTCTCTTTCATTCTCTCTCTCTAAAGGGCGTTCGTATTCTTCAAGATAAGTATATTTAAGTACATGACGGGCTACAACAACCTCTTTTTTCAACAAGAAGATCGTTGATATTTACACACACATATATATACGATTTTTCTAGCTTGTGATATCTCACTTGGTTATTTTTCTTCTACTATCTCAACCAAGAAAAAACCAGAACTTGATTGAAGAAGAAGAAGAAGAAGAAGAAGAAGAAAAGAATGGGCATGAGTGGAAGAAGATTTTATCATTGTCATATTGTTTTCTTCCTATTGGGTCCTTTCTGCTGTTCAGGTGACTTTCTTTGTCTTGTTTACTATTTTTTTATTTTTTTTATTTTGCCTCTTTATGGATTTTATAATATGTAATTTGGTTTCCTTCCTTCCAATGAAAATACAGGGGTTTTTTTTTTTTTCTCTTTCTTCTGTTTAATGGTAGTAAATTCCATCGGCTTCTTGTTATTGTTCTTTTTCTTTGCATCTTTCTCTCTTTTTGACTAGTGAATTTATTCTGTGTTATTTACTTAACTTAGCTAGCTTCCAAAGAATCTGCACGCTGCTTTTCTTTTCTTTTCTTTTCTTTTCTTTTTCTTTTTCTTTATTCTTTCTATCAGAATATGCAATGAGATATGAATATGTAATGTTCAATTTAAATGGCGGGTTCTTATTTTTTTATGTTCCATCCTAATTTATATATGTCCAAAAGCTCTGAATTTAATTTCCATGCCTTGGAGTATTTTTTCAATCTTTCTTTTGTGAATTTCCTTATTTATCACAATTATGTGAAAAATCAGTATTCACTCTTGAAATGCGCCGCTTCTAATGTAAAGAAACTGCTTATTTTCAAACTTAACAATTATTATCCTTGTTCAACTCCCTCCTTTTTCCTCCTTTTACGACATGCACACAAATGTAATCAAGACTACACGCTTTTTCAACTTAAAAATGGATTTCTTTTTTTGTTGAACCAGTTTGTTCATGCAGATAAAATGAGGACAATTTTTTTTTTGGTAGAAAGATAAATGAGGACACTTGAAATTAGAAATTTTTTGCTCACCTTGGTGACTATTTTCTTTCAAGTCCCCAAAAGAAAACTTTTCACCAACTATTAGCAAGAAGTCAGTTTTCCACCTAGTTCCAATTGTTTATTGTATTTATGCCCTTCATTGTATTAAACCTTAGCCACCTAACCATCCAATATCACCTATTGGTAAGTGGTGACTTTTTGAAAGAACCATGTGTTTGTCTGATATCTTTGGTAACTGAGTGAACAGAACTATGCATATATGACTTAAGCCTTTGTTTATTTCACCGATTCGAGTTTAGAATTTGAGTTTTACTACAGTAAAAAGTTCTCATAAACAGTCACATTTAACTTTTTTACTACAGTAAAAAATTATCACATAAAATCACATCTCAATTCAAATTAAAAACTCAAATCAACAAAATAAATGAGCCGGACCCTTAGTCTCCCTCAACAGAAACAGAATACTATTTTGCTTTGTGTTTTTGCCTAGTTAGTTATTTCCTAAAGGCAAGTTCAAATCAGAAACTTTTTCTAAAAGAAACATGTTTTTCTTTCAATTCGATTTCGCGAAAACGCTATTCGGATTTAACACCACTACTTGCTTTACATGTTCAAAAGGAAAATGAAGAGAAAAAGTAAAGCCTACTTTAATTGAACTTCAAGTGCAGGATTAAAGGCAACAGTGAAGGAAGCCATTGGACACATGAAAGGTGTAGACCATGAAGAGAAAGAAGTAAAGTTCACTTCCCAAACTTCCACCACCCAAAGGGACATCACAACCCCAATAACAACTGTCCCAACAATAACTCCCAACAATCCTACTTCATCAACACCAATTATGAACCCGAATTCGAACCCGGATTCCACCTCTCCGGTCACCACTACACCTACTCTCACCCCAAGCATTACCACATCCCCTGCTTCTACAGGCGCGAGTTGGTGCGTTTCTAGCCAAGGTGCATCACAAATTGCATTGCAAGTTGCTTTGGACTATGCTTGTGGCTATGGTGGCACTGATTGTTCGGCAATTCAGCCCGGTGGGAGCTGTTACAATCCGAACACCATCCAAGACCATGCTTCTTTTGCATTTAACAGCTATTATCAGAAGAACCCGGTTCCTAATAGCTGCAACTTTGGTGGAACTGCTGTTATTACTAGCACAAATCCAAGTAAGATATCTTCTTTAGGCTAAATATTGTTACTTTTGTTAGGGGCTAATGATAAATACTACTAGAATGGCTTTTCTAATTGTCTCTCTTTTAAGAGTTGTTTGGTTGGGGGATTCGTACTCCGATTTGAATCATGGTTCGTGGTTCGCTACAGTGTTCTCTCTCACAAAAAATACACATAAATTAAAAATAATTCTAATATCATAATTCTAATTTATGAACCAAACGTCTCTTAGACAAATTTTCTGAGTTGTTGTCTAGTTTTCTCTATCTGCCAATTAATCCGTATGTAGATTCCATCAGTTCAGCGGAATTAGTGGATGTATGTCTTTTTCTACTTTTAAACAAAAAAGTGACATTTGACAAATTGAAACTTGATGCCAGAAATTAGCCCCTTGAGAGGCACAAGAAGTCAACTTTCCTATTAGTTTGTACTAGAGACAGCACCTAAGGCTACTTTGAACAATATTCAGCATTTCTCTATGGGTTTGTCTCCGGTCTTTCATGAAGGACCAGTCTTGCATTGCATCATATTGAAGTATAGTGTAATACGGCATTTATTCTACATAATTATGATATTTAAAAGGTACAACACTCGTCTATAATACGTACCTTTCAAAAATCATTGTTATATAAAGCTAATTTCATGTGTTGCATGTAGGATAGGCCCTTCATGTAGGACCAAAATCTTTGCCTTTCTCTTTTGCCCTTTTCTCACCTCTCACTCCATTCTTTTTTTTTTTTTTTCAGGTACAGGAACATGCCAATACCCCTCAACTAGGTAACTCCCTTTCACCTCTTCTTTGTTACTTTTCTGTACCACTCGTGAGTACATAGAGGAAAGTTTCCTAACAAATATTTGAAATTATATTTGCAGCACAAGTTCTTCAGTCTTAAATACAACCAATTCAAGTGGATCAACTGTTTTCGGTGCGGTGCCTTCTGGTCCTTCACCACCCTCATCAGCAGCTGCTAAATTGAATAAAAATCGAATCCCACATTTGTTCATGACATTATGTCTAATGCTGTTGATACCCAAATGAGTGTCACAGAAGGAAATATGAATAGCTCTAAAGAATATTAACTTGCCCATCTAAAGATGGTCCTTATTTTCTTGATACTCAGAAAGCATACAAGGAGATATGCTGATATAACTGGTGACATGTTTTGCAGCCTTAGCCCCAAGTCAAGTTACACTTCTCAAAGTTGAGTAAAGTGAGTTTTTACTGATAAAGAGAGACCACCTAGAAAGAAAGAACATATGGGAGATGGGTTTTTGTAGATTTAACCATAGCTGTTCCTCTGTATTTATGGTTTTTTGTTAGTGCTAGAGCAATAATATTACTTCCAAAGTTCAAAGAAGCTAAGGAGGCTTCTGGATTGTATGTAAATTTGTGGGAATGAAAATGTTTGGATGGAATATTGCTATTGAATTATTATTATTATTATTTTTTTATAAAATTGTGTTGCTTTGACAGTTTGAGAAAGGATTCCAAAACGGCAAAAGTGCCTCTATGTAAGACAAATTGTGTGTTACGAGCACAAATTATATTGACTAATTAGCCAACTTTGTAACTTCCCTACTCACTTGGTGCCCATATTCGACTTCTAAACTTTCATGACTCATATGTCTGTTTTGAGATGTTGATGCAATGATCTTCATCAACTATATTAGTGAATTATGTCGTCTTGTTCCTGAAAATATTATTAAGATTCTAAGAGATTCTCTCTTGAAAATTATCAACTAACTCTTGAAAACAAAAATATATATTCAAGCATGAAAAGGTTAACAATATACCAATTGTGCATAATTTTGATCTAATGCTTCACTTATATTCTTTTTTTTTTTAAACGAACTTGTATTCTAATTCTTTATTGGTATATGATGTTCCTTTACAATTCCTTTTCTGTTTTTCATTAATTTCAATCAAAATTATAGGACCATATTTTCTATAGATTTTAAAGAACTTGGGGTGGTGACTAAATGCCTGTTTGCAGAGTTTTCATTTTTGCTTTCTTAGTTAGTAGAAGTAGAGAAGTAAAATAAAAAAGCTTAATGGGTCAAAACAATTTTTAAATTTTCTAATAAGCAATAAAAGTGTTAGAATAAAGTTTATAGTATCCTAATGAAACTCTATGTATAAGTTTTAAACTCTATTTAAAAGTACTTTTTTTTTAAGTTACATTTTGTAACTTTGTTTGGAGGTTCTTCTGAAAAGTCAAAACGCTTCTAACGGATCATCTAACTACTTTTAGAAGGAACTTTTAGAGCTAAGAAGCCAAAAATAAGCTCTTCCAAACAAACCCTAATTCATATGATCGGACGGTCTAGAAATATCTAATATGATTAAAATATCTCTTTATCTGCTCTTTAGTGGAAAATGCAAAGAGTGGATCAAACGAAATTAACTATAAATACACTTTGTAAAGGGTATACGTCAGCACAAAACTAGTAAATTATGTACTACACATTATAAGAAGGGTTTCTTGGCACAATTTTTTTTCCCGATGTGAATTTCAAATTTGAGGGACCACACAAATTTTTGACATTTGTGTGTGGGTAGGGGAATCATTTGTCCAGAAATTTTGATGTTTTTTTGGTCCTGTTTTGTAAGAAAATTATTCTTTGTCTAATATTTCCATGCACATAATAATAATAATAATAATAATAATAATAATAATGATAATAATAATAATAATAAAGAAAGGTTTAACGCATGGTCGTTTGCGTCCTCCTATTCCCACTATTGCAGGTTGATGCCATGGATGGAAATGGAAACCTTCAAAAAGCTACAAAAATGAAAGAGGAGATAACTTATTGGAAGTAGAACGAAAATGGAGAAAGAAGATAACCAAATTTTCATATGATTACAGGGGTAAAGGAGCAATTACGCATTCATTAGTCATTACCTCATTAATCATAACTAGACATGTGATACGTTATTTTCGCCATCAAAGTAACATAAAGGGCAAGTTTAGTAATGGAATAAAGATTGGAAAAAACAGATACTATGAATTTAAATTCACTGATAAAGTGTTGGAAGGATCATAGAAAATTTTTATAATTAATCTTTTTTTTAATAAGCAAAGTCTCTTTTTAAATGGAAAAAAAAAAAGAACAAGCTAATAGTAAAGCTAGACTAGAAAAGCCAACCTAGCGACATGAAGATAAACAAATAAGGAGAAATTTTATTCTCCGGTTCTATATTCAAACATTTCCTCAAAATATCTAGTTCCGCTAGTCGTCTCAAGATTTTGAGACGTTTAGTTTGGTATTATTTTTTCTTTCAAAGCAGCTTCTCCTTGTAGCAGAAATTGATTTTAATATTTAGTCAATTTTCTCAAAAGTGTTTTTTAAAATTTTTTTTAAAAATGTACAGTCAAAATCAGAAGCAGTCTAAAGATAACTTTAGCTTTTAGATTATGCAGGAATCAACATAGTACAAATAATAAAACTTTTATAACACTCATAATACCCTTAATGAAATTTAAAATTTACAATCTTCCCAATTTAAAATTCAGACTCGTAATATAATATGATATAATAATAATATTTTAACAAATAATATCATAATTATATTAATAACTCTAATATTATTATATGATATTATCATATAATATGATATTATAATAATATAATAATAATAATGTAATAATTAATATAATTAAATATTAATATAATCTTATAATTCTAATATTATTATATATTATAGTGTATTATACACGTTATGGTTATATAATATATTAATTATAATATATTAATTTAATATAATATAATAATGATTATATAATATAATATATTATAATATAATATAGTTGTAATTTTTAATTATATTATAACTGAAATATTAATAT